CGTTCCTCTTGCCCATTTGGCGCGCTGTAAATGTCTCTTCTCTTCTCTCTTTTTTTAATATTCTTTCTTTAGTTTTATTTTTGTGTCTATTTATATATTTTATTTTTTGCGGGTTTCGTTTTTTTTTCGTTTTTCTACCCCTATTTTATTTTTTCTTGTTTTTCTTTTTTTTCCTTTTTTCTTGTCCTTATATTTTATTATATATTATTTTTTCTTTTTTTTTCTTATGTTTTTCTTTCTTTTCTTCGTTTTCTTTTCCTTATATTTTATTATTTATTTTATTGGGTATTTTTCCCTTTTTTCCCTTCCTCCATTCTCTTACATGCTTGTAAAACCTTCCTTCCCCCTCCTCTTCCCCCACCCCACCCTTCTCCCCTTTTACCCCACCACCCTCCCCCTTAATCTCCCTTACCCCCTCCCCTTATCCTCCTTTACACCTTCTCCTTTCCCCGCTCCCTCCCTTCCCCACCCCCACCCCCTCCCCTCTCCCCTACCTCCACCCCCCACCCACTCCCCTCTCCCCTCTCCCCTCCCCTTTCCCAAACCCCCAACCCCATCCCCTACCCCTTTCCCCCCCCCTATCCCCTCTCCCTTCCCCTCTCCACCCTCCCCTTGCACCTCCATCTCCCTCCCCCCTCCCCTTTCCCGAACCCCTTTCCCGGAACCACACCCTCCCCTTCCCCCTCTCCCCCTTCTCACCCCTCCCTCCGCTCTACAGACTGTGGCCTCTTATGCATGAAAATTAAGTGAGTATAATATAGAGTTACTGCCAGACACAAACAACTTGCAGCGGCGTGGGTTGGTCGCGCGCCATGGGTGGCGGTGCGGCGTGGGTGGGGGTCGGGGGCGTAGACGTGGGTGCTAAGGGTGATTGGAGTGGCGTTGCGGGTGGATGGTGAGCGTGGGTGACGGGGTGGGTGTATGGGGGTGCGATAGGTGTTGGTGGTGGGTGGGTGAGGTGGATGCATGCCGCGGATAGGGGAGGTGGGTGGGGTGGGATTAATGGGCGGGTGAGGTGCGACGGATGGTAATGGGTGAGGATGTGTCGGTAAGGGGTTGGGCGGTTCCAGGGTGTAACCCGTATGTGGGTATGGGTCGAGGTGCGTGTGAGTTGATGGGTGTGGGGGTGGCGGTAGATTGGGGGGTGAAGGGTGTGGTGTCGGCATGCGTGGGTGGAGTAGGTGGTGGGTCGCCGCCCTGAGTAAAGCAAGAGGGAGGGAGGAGNAGTAGTAGTTTTATTACTATTATTAATTATCAGGAGGAGGCAGAGGAAGAGGAATAAGAAAAAGAAAAAGAAAAATGAAGAAGGAGGAGAAAGACGAAAAGGAGAAAGAGGAGAAGGAGGTATATAAGAATATGAAAAAAAGAAAATTAAAGAAAGCGAAGAAGAAGAGAAAAAAACAAAACAAAGCAGAAGACAAAGAACCCACCCCCCCCCAAAAAAAAAATAATAAATAAAAAAAAGAAAAAAAAAGAAAAATACGAAAAAAATATAAGACTTAAAAATGATAATGGATAAAAAAGGATTAGGATTAGGATTAGTGACGAGGATCTCTTAACCTTTCTTGAGATAAACACAAGAAAATTCGGAGTGACTTGGAGTGCAGTTGTCGAATTGAACTCCGCAAAACAACATGGTTCAGTTGCCCATTTGCGCGCTGTAAATGTCTCTTCTCTTCTCTCTTTTTTTCTCTTTTTTTAAATATTCTCTTTTTAGTTTTTTTTTTGTGTCTATTTATATATTTATTTTGGGGGGGTTTTTTTTTTTCGTTTTTCTACCCCTTTTTTTTATTTTTTTCTTTTTTTTTCCTTATTTTTTATATTTTTTTTTTATCCCTTTTTTTTCTTTTTTTCTTCGTTTTCTTTCCTTATATTTTATTATTATATTTTTGGGTATTTTCCCCTTTTTTCCTTCTCCTCTCTACATTGCTTCTAACCCCCTTCCCCCCCTTTTACCCCCACACCTCCCCCTTATCTCCCTTCACCCCCTCCCCTTCCCCTCCCTCCTCTCCCTCCCCCACCCCCCACCCTTTCCCCCCCTCCCTTCCCCCCTTCCCCTCCTCCCCCCACCCCCCCCCCACCCTCTCCCTAACCCCACTCCCTCCCCTTCCCCCACCCCTCCCTCCGCTCTACAGACTGTGGCCTCTTATGCATGAAAATTAAGTGAGTATAATAATAGAAGTTACTGCCAGACACAACAACTTTGCCAGCGGTGGGTGGTCGCGCGATGGGTGGGTGGGGTGGGTGGGGGTGGGGGCGTGAGTGGGTGAATGGTTGGATTGGAGTGGGTTGGGTGGATGGGTGGGTTGGGTGGGGGTGGTGGGGGGTGGATGGGTGAAGGGTGGATGGGTGGGTGGAGGTGGGTGGGGTGGAATGGGTGGGTGGGTGGTGAGGTTGGATGGATGGTGGGTGGTGATGTGGGGTGAGGTGGGGTGAGGATGTGGGGTGGGTGGTGTGGGTGGTTGAGGGTGTGGGGTGGTGTGGATGGGGTGTGAGGTTGGGGGTGTGTGAATGGGGGTGGGAGTGGGTGGCCGCCCTGAGTGAAGGAAAAGGAGAGAGGAAGGAAAGACAAGGAAGATGAAAGAGAGGAAGGATTTGGTTGTGGAAAGAGGGAATGAGAGAGAAGGAGAATATAGAAGGGAGGGAGAGAAGAAGGAAAAAATGAAAAAAGAGAAAGGGGGAGATAGAAGAAACGGAAAAGGAGAAAGGGAGAGAAGAAGGAAATTGGAAAAAGGAAGGAGAGATGAAGAAAAATGGAAATAGAGAAAGGGGGAGACGAAGGAAAATGGAAAAAGAGGGAGGGAGAGATGGGGGAGGCAAGGAAAAATGGAAGGGTATAGATGGAGGAAGGAGAAAGGGAAAGAATTGAAAAAAAAGGGAGAAATGGAAGAAAGCGGAAAAGGAAGAGAGGAGAGATGGAGGAAAGTGAGAAGAGGGGAAGATAGAGATAGAGAAAAAGAAAAAAAGGGGGGAGGGGAGGGGGGATGAAAGGGGAAAAGGGGATAGAGAGGTGTGTAAAAGGGGGATAGAGAGATAAGGAAAAAAGAAGGAGACAGAAGAAGAGCGAAAAGTGGAGGAAAATGGAAGAAGGGAAGAGAGGAAAGGAAGAAGAAAACGAAGAAGGAGAAGAGACGAAGAGACGAGAGAAGAAGACGAAGACGAAGAAAGAAAGACGAAGACGAAGACGAAGACGAAGACGAAGACGAAGAAGAAAGAAAGAAGAAGAAGAAGAAGAAGAGAAGAAGAAGAAGAGAAGAAGAAGAGAAGAAAAAGAAGAAGAAGACGACGACGACGACGACGACGACGACGACGACGACGGGGGGAGAGGGGAGGAGAATGAGGTGAGGCAGAAGTAGAGGCAGAAGAGAGAGGAGAATGAGGACGAAAGGAGGAGGAGGAGGATAGGGGAGAGGAGAGAGAGAGGGGAGAGGGAAGAGAGGAGAGGGGAGGGGGAGGAGAGAGAGAGAGGGGAGGGAGGGGAGGAGAGGAGAGAGGAGAGAGAGAGGGAGAGGGGGGAGGGTGAGGGGAGGGATGCCCGCTACGGTTGCCCACCTAACGTAAACCCGAAGGCTGTTACCACTGTCTGTTGCCCGGCTAATGAGGCCCCCTTGTTTACCGGTCGTGGGGCCTGCGACATGTCACGCCCACTCCGCCCACGCTGGTTATCCCCTCGGCGTGTTCCCTTCCTCTTTATTCTCTCCCCTCTCTCTCTCCTCTCTCCTCGCCCCTCTTCTCTTTATTCTCTCCCCTTCTTCCTCTCTCTTCTTTCTCCCCTCTTCTCTCTACTTTCCTCTCCCCCCTCTTCTCTCCTCTCTTCTCTCCGCTTCTCTCTACTCTACTCTCCTCTCCCCTCTCCCTATTCTCTCCTCTTCCCTCTTCTCTCTTCTTACTCTCTACTCTCCCCTCGTCTCCATCCCTTGTATTTCTCCTCCTTTCCTCTTTTCTTGTCCTTCTCCTTTTTCCTTTATCTTCTATTCTTTCTCCTTTGACTTCCTCTATTCCCTTTCTTTATTCCCTCCCTTTTCCAACATCTTTTTTTTCCCTCTCTCTTCCCCTCTCTCTTTCCCCAGCTCCTCCAGTCTCCCTCCCCTTCTGTTTTTTTCCTCAACTTTCCCCTTGCCAAGAAACAAAGGGAGGGAGAGGGGGAGGGAGGAGGAGGGGGAGAGGGAGAGAGGAGACAGAGAGGAGAGAGGAGAGAGAGAAAAAAAAAATACAAACAGACAGTTTAATTTAATTTATTTTTTTCTTCTTAAAAGGACTGTCTATTGTAAATTCTCTATTGATTTTTTTATCTATCTGAATTTGTTTTATCTGCTTATTCATTACGATTTTTTTTTTGTTATTTATTCATCTATCAAATTACTTAATTATTTATTCGTTTATCCACCCACGTACTTATTTTTTTTCATTTATCCATTTAATTACATATTCATTTCTTTATAAACCTTTTTATAGACATTGTCATTACCTATTAAAAAGGATTGTCCCACTACTAATCCCTAATCCTTTTCCAGTCATAGGGAGACGTGACAGTCCCACGAATCACTAATCCTTGAATCGCCAATCACACGTCACCAATCCATTAAATGTCATTTTCACCAAAGAGCAAGTCCTACCAACTAATCCTCCGAATCCCCAATCCTTTAAGTGCCATCTTCACCAAGGAAGGAAGTCCTGCCAATCACACGTGTCACCAATCCTTGATTCGCCAGTCCTACAACTCATCGAAGCTTTCCCATGCCATTCTCACCAGGCAGGACGTTCCTACCAATCGCAAATCTTCCAATCCTTGAAACTCCACCCCACCAATCCCCCCCAATCCCTAGCTATTGGTTATGCTTTGTCTCCCACTCCACACCCTCAACTCTACTCTTCTCTCCCCTCTCCCTACCCTTCTATCTCTCCTCCTCCCTCTTCCCTCCCCTCCCCTCCCCGATTAGGAATGACTTACCAATCCCCCAATCCTTTCTCCCACTCACCACGCCCTCTCCCTCCCGCAGGCTGTTGGCTGGAAGGTCGTCGCGTGCCCGAGGGTGAAGTCGTGACCTCCAAGATCGACCCTTGCGTGCGTTGCGTGTGCTTCGACGGCAAACTCACGTGCGAGAAGAGGTCGTGCCCGGTCCTCTCCTGCCCCGAGACCAGGCAGGTCCTGTCTCATGACGGCTGCTGCATGACCTGTAGGGGTGAGTGACTCTAGGGTGTTCTAGCGGGGTGTTCTGAGAGCGTGTGTCTCGGCAGGGTCATGCACGGGGGTGTTCTTAGGGTGTATAGTTTGATAGGGGTTGTTAGGGTGTATTTTTTTTAGGGTGTATGGCTTGATAGGGTGGGGTGGGGTGTCCTTAGGGTGCAAGGGTTTCCAAGGTGGGTTAGGATGTGTCTTTCAGGGTCCGTACCTTGACAGACGAGTGAGGGTGGGCTGAAGAGTGCATGACCTGCCACGGTGAGTGTTGGCATTGCTGTAGGATTTGACAGGATGAGTGCGTTCGTGTCCTTGGGTGCATGGCATGTCCAGGTGAGTAAGTGGGTGTCCGGAGGGTGAATGATTTATCAAGGTGTGTGAGTGAGTGTCAGATTTTATGGTGCATGATTTCTGACAGGGTGAGTTGAGTGTTTTAGTGTCTTGCCAGGGAGGGTGACGAGGAGGTTGTGCTTGAAGTTCGCTGCTCCATGATTTTTTTTTTTTTTTTTTTTTTTTGAGAGTGAGTTAGAGAGGTCATAGTGTCGCATATCCTAATAGAGGGAGTAACTGCAGAGTTCCTAGTGCTGCACGACGTCGCAGGATGAGTGCTGCTGATTTCCCAGTGCTGTATCTATGACCTTATCAGCTGATTACTGCGTGGGTGCCCAGTTCCTCATGTGTGCGACCTGCCAGGGTGGGTGAGCGTTGGGTGCATGGGGCTTCCTCTCCGTCGGGCGTGTGTGTGCTACGGCAAGCCAAGGTCAGGCGATCAACAACAAACACGCTGTCAAGTCTGTCCCAAAGAGGAGCTGCCTGCGCCGCTCGCTCGCTGCCGGGGAGGCTGGCGCTGCAGGTCCATGCTGCGGGAGGGAAGGGGAAGGACTTGTATCGTGTAGGTGAATAGATTGATAGAAGGATAGAGAGAGATAGACAGATAGATTGAGATAGATAGATAGATAGAGAGTGCGTGAGAGCGACTGCCTCCCCCAGCCCCGTTGGCGTCCCCTGACTGACCTCTCCTCCCCCAGGGTCGCGCCCGATGATCACCCCGCCGGGCGGCCGCTGCTTCCTCACGGGCTACCTGTACATGAGCGGCGCCGAGCGCTCGGTGGACCCCTGCACGACCTGCACGTGCTCCGAGGGCTTCATCACGTGCGAGCGGCGCACGTGCCCGGTGCTCAACTGCTCGCAGGAGTTCCAGGTGACCCACGAGAACGAGTGCTGCCCCTCCTGCAGCGCCGCCGCCCAGCTGGAGAGCGTCTGCCACGAGTTCGGAACCATCTACAGGGACGGCGACACGTGGCAGCTCGACAAGTGCACGTCGTGCTCGTGCGACGACGGCAAGGTCACGTGCCACGTGCTGCCCTGCGAATACTACAACAAGCCGTGCCCGCCGGGGTACAGGGTGCGTTGGGCTGCGGCCGCTGTGCTGTTTGGGAAGGGCCGATTGGCGTCCTTTTTCTGGTCGGGGAATCTGTGTTATGGCTAGCTCTTGGGATTTATTTTCGCTTTGAAGGTTATTGTCAAATTTATTGAATCAAAAAGGATTTTAATGAGACATATGTAAGAAATATAATATATATATGTATATATGTATATATATATATATATATATATATATATATATATATATATATATATATATATATATACATATTCAAAACACTTGAAAAAATATATAAGAAAAAATGCCTTGCACCTACTAATGCAGAGATAGATAGACAGACAGACAGACAGACAAATACCCCCCCCCCCCACTACACCCTCCCCCCCAACAGCGCGTGGAGTCGGACAGCGAGTGTTGCCCCAGGTGCGAGAAGGCCCCCGGGGTCTGCGTGGTCTTCGGCGACCCCCACTACAGGACCTTTGACGGCCTCCTCTTCAACTTCCAGGTCAGTCCCTCTTCTCTGAGTCTCGGTTGTGTCTGTTTTCGTCGGTTGATTTAGCTTTAGAATGAAGAGAAAAGAAACAGAGGAAGGAATATGGATGAAAAAAATTGGGATAAAATGTGAATGTTTGATGCACTGGTTGAATATACACACACGCGCCCACTCACATAAACAAAGACACACACACGCCAAACCAAACAAAGAGAGGAGAACGATTCCAGTAAACAAGATATAAATAATAGCAAATAATGTTGAAGAAAAAAAAAAGAGTAGAATTAATCTCCTGTTTATTTCTACTTATGAAACGAAGTTGTTTTCAGTTAACAGTTAACAGAAATCCTTGCATCACCCACGACTGTTTGAAGGTTAGTCCCAAAAAGGGCTAACACTTGACCTTAAACGATAATAAAGAATATCCTGATTACAATCATTGCAGAAAAGTAATTAAGATAACACTAAAGACATGGATTAAACACTGAGAACTGGGGTATTAACGATTAAATTGCTCATTCTCCCAAAGGGTTGTTAGATACTAACACTAATAGTGCTGTAAGTAGTGACGGTGTTATTCGTAGTCAAGTGGTATGAATAATACTAACAATCATATGTATTTAACAATAAACGTATTAAATAGAAAGAAAATAAAGGGGCAGTCATAAACATAATAATGATAATAAATGTTAACGACATGAGAACAAAACGACAACAACAATAAAATGTAAAGCAACAGCAGTAATGACAATATAATTGATAAGTGTAATAACGATAAAAGTGATAGCATTGATGATGATTATGATGCAAATACTACTACTACTACTGCTATAACGATAATGATAATGCTGATGATGATAATATTGATGATATTGAAAATGGCAAGAATGAGAATAGAAACAACAGTAATAATAACAATAGAAATAATGATGATGATGATGATGACATTGGTATTATTGATAATGATAATATCCATAATAGCAATGATGATAATAGTAATAATGATGATTATGAAAATGATAATAGTAATAATGATGATTATCAAAAATTGAATAACATGAATTATTATAATTGTAATCAATGATGGAGATGATAGTGAAAATATCACTTGTAACAGTAGTAGTAGTAGTAGTAATAGTAACAATAGTAGAATAATCATGTTAATGATCATTTAATAGTAACGGTGATACTAATAATAATCATGATATTGATGATAATAATGATGATGAAGGTGGTGATGATGATGATGATAATAATAAAAATAATGATAATAATCGTAACAGGAATATTATTACAATAATAGTAATAATGATAATAATGAAATATAATAAACATGATAAAGTAATAGTAATGATAATGATGATGATGACAGTAATAATAGTAATAATGATAATGATAATAACAATAAATAAGAGAATGATAAATAACAATAGTAGTATTATAGTAATAATGCTAAATGCTAATTACAATAACAATGGTAGTAAAGATGATAACAAAAAGAAAAATCATGATATTAGTAATGATAATGATAATATGAATGATGATAACAGCAACAATAATGATGATGATGATGATGATCATAGAAATGATAATGACATAATGACGATGAAAATGATGATTGCAATAATAGTAGTAGTAGTAGTAATGATAACAATGATAATGATAATAATAATGATAATAATAATGATAATAATAATGATAATAATAATAATAATGATAGTAATGATAATAAAAATAATGACAAAAAATAATAGTATGATAATAGTAATAATGTAATAATAATAACAATAAAATAATAATAATAATAATAATAATAAATAATAATGACGATAATGATATAATAATGATAATATAATGTAATGTAATAGTAATAGTAAATGGCAATAATGATAATGATTATGATAATAATAACAACAATAATGGTGATAAGATGAAGATGGTGACGACAACAACAATAATAAAGATTATGATGAGAATAATTATGGTAAAGATAATGATGACAATAATGATAATGATAATAATAATAGTAATGATATTAATGATGATAGTAATAATTTTAATAATAATAATAGTAATAATAATAATATATATGGTATAATATAATAGTAATAATAATAATGATAATAATAACAATAATGATAATAGCGATGAATGATAATAGTAATGATAATGATGACAGTAATAATGATTGCAATGAAGATGAATGAAAAAGTTAGTGATACTACTACTGCTACTAATAACATCTTCAACAATAACAAAAACAAAACAACAACAATAGTAATGATAATGATAGTCATAGTAGTAGCGACATTAGTAATAGTAAACATAATAATAGTAATAATGATAATAATATTCATGATAATGAAAATAATGATGATGATAATAATAGTAACAAGAACAACAACAATAATAATGATAATAATAATAATAATAATGATAATAATAGTAATAGTTAATTAATAATAATAATAATAATAATAATAATAATAATAATAATGATAATGATAATAATAATAATCAAATAATAATAATGATAATAATGATAATAATAATAATAATAATAATAATAATATAATAATAAATAATAATAATAATAATAATAATAAAATAATAATAATAATAATAATAATGATAATAGTAATAATAATGATAATGATAATAATGATAATAATAATGGTAATATGTGATAATAATGATGAAATGATAATAATATGATGATGATAATAGTTACTCCTATTAATACCAATAATTACTACTATTAGTACTAGCATTGTTATTGTTTTATACATACCATTATCGCTATAACTTTCATAATTGATTTAGGAATAGTAATGGCGATAATTGACAACATTTAGGATAACTATTTTTCATGTTTTTTTTTTTTTTTTTCCCAACAGTCAATAAAGTTGATAGTAGTGTACAATACAAAATAATACTATCTGAATGTACACGGTTGAGTAGCATCACACAATATGTCATTATAATCTAAGATAACTCATACGACAGTACAGTCTCCCCCTCACAAAAAAAACGTAAAAAAAAAAAAAAATAGCTGATGATAATCAAGACAACGAAATCTAAAAAAAAAATAATAATATTAAAACCATAGAAACTTCAATTCTAAAAAAAAAAAAAACCCACCAACCCCATCGCAACTCATTCATAAACAACAACCGCGACCAACAGCTGATTGCGAAACCAACCCACGTCTCGCATTCCAGGGCGCTTGCAAATACTGGCTTGCGAAGACTTGCAAAGGGCAAGATTTCAGCCTCAAAGTGATCAATGACGCGAGGAGGTCGTCCCACTTCTCCTGGACCAAGAGCCTGTCCTTCAAAGTGCCCGGCGCGAAGGTAAGTTACTGGGAGTGGGGAGTGGGGAGTGGGAGTGGGAGTGAGGATGGGAGTGGGAGTGAGAGTGGGTGAGTGAGAGTGGGAGTGGGAGTGGGTGATTGAGAGTGGGAGTGAGAGTGAGAGTGAGTGAGTGTGGGAGTGGGTGATTGAGAGTGAGAATGGGAGTGAGAGTGGAGTGGAGTGGTGAGTGAGTGAGTGAGTGAGTGAGTGGGAATGAGAGTGAGAGTGGGAGTGGGAGAGTGGGTGATTGAGGTGGGAGTGAGAGTGAGTGAGTGGGGAGTGAAGGTGGAGAGTGGAGAGTGGAGAGTGAGAGTGGGAATGGGAGTGGGTGATTGAGATGTGGGGAGTGTGAGAGTGGGGAGTGGGGAGTGGGAGTGGAGTGAGAATGGGGAGTGAGAGTGGGTGGGAGTGAGATTGAGAGTGGGAGTGGGGAGTGAGAGTGGAGTGGAATGGAGTGGGAGTGAGAATGGGAGTGGAGTGGAGTGGGAGTGGGAGTGGGAGTGGGTGAGTGAGAGTGAGTGAGTGGGGACTGGGAGTGAGAGAGAGTGGGAGTGGGGGGAGTGGGATGAGAGTGGGGAGTGTGAGAGTGGGAGTGGGGAGTGGGAGTGGGAGAGTGAGAATGAGTGAGTGTGAGAGTGGGTGAGTGAGAGTGAGTGGGAGTGAGAGAGTGGGGAGTGAGGTGAGTGGGCAGTGGGAGTGGGTGGAGTGAGAGGGGAGTGGATGAGTAGTGGGGGAGTGAGAGTGACTGAGTGAGAAGTGAGAGTGGGGTGGGGAGTGGGGAGTGAGAGTGAGAATGAGTGAGTGTGAGAGTACGGAGTGAGAATGGGGAGTGGAGTGAGATGGAGTGGATTGGGGTGGGGGAGTGAGAGTGAGTGAGTGGGGAGTGGGAGCTGACTGTTTTGAATACATAAACACATGAAAAAAATAAGCACTTTTTTATTTAGTTAAAAATTTAAAAATCTCTTGATTGGATGACGCACTTGGATGTCTCCCCCCCCCTTGCACGCTACAGGGGGTGGGGTAGGGAGGGGTTGTGTGTGTGCAAGTGTGTATGTGAATATGTACGCATCCATATGTACGTATATATATGTCCGCGCTTATGTGTAATACGCATCGTCTGTTTTTTTTTTTCGATTTTTCGATTTTTCTTGCCGATTTTGATGAAACTCACACCCTTTTATTTAGACCATAGCCTGATCTCTGTGGTAGATTTTTTTCTCGAAATCGCCCGAACAGTTTTTGAGTTATGGTAAAAAAAAAAAAAAAAAAAAAAAAAAAAAAAAAAAATCACCCCCCCAAAAAAAAAAAAAAACGAAAAAAGACCAGGCGACCCCCTTAACACTCAGCCCTCCTGCAGGTGACTCTGGGCCAAAACCTTCGCGTCAAGATCAACGGGAAGAAGACGAAGCCGCCCTACACGATGCCGGGCGTCCTGCAGCTCACCCTCGTGGGCCAGGCCGTGTCCATCACCACGCCCAAGGGTGAGGGTTTCTCTTTCCTTGTCAGTTTGTGTCTCTGTCTGTCTGTCTCTGTCTCTGTCTGTCTGTCTGTCTGTCTGTCTGTCTGTCTGTCTGTCTCTGTCTGTCTCTGTCTGTCTGTCTGTCCTCTCTCTGTCTGTCTCTGTCTCTTCTCTCTTCTCTCTTCTCTCTCTCTTCTCTGTCTCTTCTCTTCTCTCTCTCTCTTCTGTCTCTCTCTCTCTCTCTCTCTCTCTCTCTCTCTCCGTATATCTACCCATCTATATATCTGTATTTATACATATACCTGCCCCCGCTCCCTCCCTCCTCCCCCCACCACGCATAGCCGGCGCTCTAACCCCCCCCCCCTCCCTCCCCCAGGCATCAACGTGCTGTGGGACGGCGGGAGCTACGTGGAGGTGGAGGTGCCCGTGGCGCTGCGCGGACGCACCTGCGGCCTCTGCGGGAACTTCAACGGCAACGCCACCGACGACCTCACCACCAAGGACGGGCGCCGGGTGGCCACGGCCGACCTCATGGCCTTGTCGTGGGCCACGGGTAGGGCCAGGATCTGCTCGCGGAGGATGAAGGCGCAGCAGGAGGCGCAGAACAAGAGCCTGGGCACGACCCGGTCCCAGCGCCTCACGTGCCCCGTGTCGCGCTCCAAGGCCCTCGGGCGCTGCAGCCTCCTCAACTCCACGTCGTTCCAGCCGTGCCACGCCACCAACGCCGTCGACAAGTACTACGAGTAAGGCTCCGGCTCTCGCGCTCTCTTTGGTCCTACCGTTGTTGCTGTTGTTATCTTAATTATTATTAGTAGTAGCAGCAGTTATTATCTTGATTATTATTATTATTAGAAGCAGCAGTACTGTAATTTTACTGTTATCATCATCAACATAATTTTTATATGCAATAACCCTTATGATTATAGTTATTATTATTATTATCATCCTCATCTTATTATAAAAGCTTCATAGATCGGGACCAAACGAAAAATAAACGTTGGCGACCCACACCACGCCCAGCCCGCCCTCCTAATCGCCCCTTTCCCGCCCAGGTCTTGCATCCTGGACATGTGCGAGTGCAGGCCCGGCCGGAGGTGCGAGTGCGACACCCTGCAGGCGTACGCGAGGGTGTGCCAGCGCCTCGGGACGCCCGTGCTCGACTGGCGGAACCAGAGCAAGTGTGGAGGTGGGTGTTCTCTTTTTTTCTTTTTTTTTTTTTTTTTGTCGATTTTGGTATTGTTTATGCAAGTAAGGAATCATCTTGCGGGATTGGTTGGTGTGTTTTTTTTTATGGGATTGTGTCCCTTTTACGTTTTTTTTTTGCTGTGTGTGGAGGTCTGTTTCAATCTCTCTCTCTCTCTCTCTCTCTCTCTCTCTCTCTCTCTCTCTCTCTTCTCTCTCTTCTCTCTCTCTCTCTCTCTCTCTCTCTCTCTCTCTCTCTCTCTCTCTCTCTCTCTCTCTCTCTCTCTCTCTCTCCTCTCTCTCTCCTCCTCCTCTCTCTCTCTCCCTCCCTCTCCTTCCTCTCCCCTCTCCCTCCTCAATCTTACCAGTGCCTGCGAGGCAGTCAGATTACCAAGCAAGCCCTCCCTTCATTTCCCTCCTCCTCCTCCGTCTGACGCCGCGCCCTTGCTCCCCAGGTCTGGAGTGCCCCCGCGGAGCCGAGTACATGGAGTGCGCGCCCCCCTGCCGCGCCACCTGCAGCAACCCGACGCCGAACCCCAACTGCTACAAGCTCAAGTGCCGCGCGGGCTGCTACTGCCCGCCCCCGTCCGTGCTGCACCGGGGCGCCTGCATCCCCGTGGAGGAGTGCCCCAAGAGAGGGAAAAAGCGACACAGGAACCGCTGAGGGAACGCACGGGGCCTGGCTGAGGACGGCGCCGCGGGTATGTCGGGCCTCCCCATCCTGGTCAGCTGCTGGGGCGCCGAGGCCTCCTCTGCCGGCGGCGCTGGCGGCGGCGAGGCCCCGTGCTCGGCGGCTCGGGAGCCAGGCCCGCCCCAGCGAGCGGTGATCTTAGCGGTGGTCGGGTCGCAGCTGCTGGCGGTCTGGACGCAGCATGAACTCGCATGAGAGGCCTCGGGCTCAGCGTGTAGTGTTTAGGAGCGCCTTGAACCAAACGCCATTGTTGAGAAAGAAAGAATGCGAAAGTGTGTTTATTGAAACTAGCGATAAGTAGATGGACCATTGCAGTTGTCGCCAGGGAAGGGGAACAGAGGGGCAGCCAGACCCAGGAAAGCGCTGGTGGTGAACGACGATCTCAATAATTCTTAGTTTTGTGTTTGATGGATAAGTGTTCGTGTATCTGTCTCTCTGTTCATGATAGGCGCTGGCGGCACTCTCCGTGATCGGCCATGAACAATTTTGTACCATTGTCACTGCCAGGTTTAAGCCGCGTGGTGAAAGGGTGTTGCAAAATGCCTCGTGCATTGCCTTCTGCCTGCAGTGCAAGCAGAGGCAGCGAACTGATGCTCTCTTCTTATGCTCTTAGTCCAGTGCGTCTCACCGAGTCATTAGGCGGTTGCAATGCAATACAGGGAAGAGGAAAGCAGTGCAAAGCTAGCGTTGTTCGCGCCACGGCGTCGAGAAGCGTGAATCAGGAATGGCGTCGATGGATCAGCGGATCATCGAGACCGAAGGACCTGGAGTGGCATTGGCTTTGCACGTTGCCGAAGTGTCGTTGACGAAGGGAATAGAAGGGAATGCTTGGTATTTATTTAACTCGGATGGCGATGGTTGACTGATAGAAAGGATGGTAGACAAAGCAAGCAACCATTGTTTTTAATAACACGAATATCACAATAATACAAAAATACAACAATGGTTTTCTTTTCTAGTATTAATAGAGTCAGCTGACCTACAAAAGTTTAAGACCCTTGTCTGCTGACATTGGTTGTTCACATTCACTAAATTATGTTGTTCACAGGTTGTTCATTAAGTACCAGTGACAGAACTAAAACATTGTGATGAAAAGCAAACAAGCCTATTAGGTGTAGTGACCCATTAGAGCCAATTCATCATAAACTCCTTGTATAGTATTTTTTTTTTTTTTTTTTTTTTTTTTAAAGAAAGGGTATTGTTCTTGTCACTTAAAGAGGTAGAGACAGGGAAGCAGCTACGTGAACGAGGCGGCGAAGGAGCTGTTGTTGAAGGACGAGGTGGGAAAATCCTGTCAGTTTGGAGGATGACTTCAGCTTCGTGACCTCTTAAAGGTTTCTCCTTGAGATCCCAAACACTCGCGTCGTGTCCTCGTTGACCTTTTGAGATTGTTCCTCTTTTTTTTTCTTCTTTGTTTTGTGGAATAATGTTTTTTTCTTCCTTATAGAAAAAACTACATAGCTTGATTATTTCTTAATTGATTTTTTTTTCCTGATTAAGGAGTCAGTTGACCCTTAAACCACATTAGTGTTGGTGCTTTTAAACCAACACATTCAAAGGGTAAAAACAATTATAAATCTCAAGGCAGGTTAAAACAAACAAACAAAATCCCACATTTCTGTTGTATTTCCAACTTTTTTTTATACATAACTTTAATTATAGAAGTACCAAAGATATGCTTGTAATTGTCGAAATAATACACTTTTATTAGTGGAGACATGCCTATATATGTATATAATATATAAAAAAACAACAAATTACGTAATCAATTTTGTTCAGTCACGAGTTGGTTGTCCTGGAGGGAGAAGGAAAAAAAAAAGTTAAAAAAGGGAAAATATAAACGCTTGTACACGCTTGGTGCTTAGGGTGAGGTTGTATGTTAAAATTATGAATTCTTTTTTAGGATATATTTATTCGTGGAGGTTCAGCAGCTGTGCCTGTTGGGTGAAATTAGATACAAAAAAAAAGCGTGCCATTATGTGTTGAAAATAAGAGAAAATGATACATATTTTGTAAGAGTTGTGATAAGGGAAATATTAGAAGAAAAAAAATGGAATTGGAGCATCTTAGAAGAGAAAGCAGAGAGAAAGGAAACGTTGGATAGGAGAGAAGGACGAGGTGAAAGACAAAGAGAAATGGAGGAAGAAGGAGAAGGAGAAATAGGAAAACGAGACAATGCGGCCAATTGACTAAATGATAATAATAATAATAGTAATAATAATAATGATAATAATAAGGTCCATTTTTACGAGAAGGTTAAAGAGAAAGAATCGAAGAGAAGTGAAGTGATAAACAGAAAAGTGAGAGGAAAAAGAATAAAGAAGTTTTATGAAAAGAAAAAAAAGAAGGCAGACGAAATCAAAACAGAAATGAGTGAAAGTGAAAAAAAAGAAAATTATAGAAAGGGGAAGGGAGAGGAAAAGAGAAGTGAGACAGGAAAGGGAAGACATGAGGAAATAGAGAAAAAGAGAACGTGAAGGAAAACAGAAATCATAAAGAAAATAGAGAGAACTGCCCGTGCTGAGTTTGTGCTGCCAATGGTGAACCGCTTCTCGGTAGAAAACAAAAAACAAAAACAAAACAAAACAAAAAAAATAATAATGCATAAATATAAACGAACAAGCGTGAACTCTTTGAACAAATACAGACGTAGAAGGTCATTTTAGGAAATGATAACCCAAAGAAATGTCCAGGTTTTTTCCCATGTATGATCTCTCAAAGGTGTTGCCAATATCGCACAGATGGACGTCTTTTTTTTTTAAATCTTTGCACATTCTTTTTGCTGATGAGATTGCTCATGAAAGTTTGATATATGTACTTTGAAAGTACCTTTACTATATACCTTTTCTTTCATTTCTCTTCTATAAACCGATCGTAGGGTCAATAGTAAAGCATCTTGAAGTCCAGAGTTAGTTGCCGCGCTGTTGAAGTCACACGAAAGTCTCACAAACAGTGCCGGATGGGAATACAACTTGCTGCTTAAAAGACATTTCTAACTATTTATAAGTTAACTTCCATTAGTCGCTTCATTTACTACGTGTCAGTTCTCATGTCATGTTCCATAATTACGTATGTGTTGTACATCATGGTACATAAGAAGGCAAAGAGAAAGAAATGTGATGATGTGTATTGAGGGATCGCCTATGATACCATGTGTTATGTTGCATGTGCCTTGTGCTAGCTCTCGTCTCTAATTTTTTTCGAATGAGACTTGACCAAATCTCTCGACTGCCTCTGATATTAGGTATATAAGATTTTGAACCTTATGATGATGAGGATTTTTGGATCTAGGATAGAACTAAAAAAGTGTATTTCAAGTTCTTGTTGTTGTTTTGTTGTTAATTTTTTCTCAGTGTGTAACCCCGCGAAGAACATGTGATTGTTAGAATCTCCATTAAAATAACGCTAGTATTTTTTTTATCTGTCTTTAGTCTAAAACCGTAGGCTGTTTTTTTTTATTATTAGCTGACCTTACTGGAACGCAGCTACATGTTGTCGCCGAGAGTTCAAAATGTAAAAGTTGATCTCAGAAAACCAGATTTAAGAAAAAAAATGGAAGCATGTGAATAAAAAAAAACAAGTATCAACCACGTCACCAAAACGAAATAAAATAGAATAAATGAAAAGAAAGAAAGAAAGGGAAAACAAAAGAAGCGACGCTCTTTTGTTCCGTCACTCTCCTCGCCGACAGCTGTAGCCTGGGCAGTGAGCAGTCAGAATGAAGGTCTAAATCAATTCTTTCTTAGACCTTAGAAAGATGAAGGTCTACCTTAGTTATTTCTTAGACCTTAGTCAGAATATCTCAATGCGGACGTGGGGGGATACGGCATAGCCCTGGTGAAGCTGCTAGTTTGCTAGTTTTAGTCCACAAATGGTGGTTTACCCCCAGCTATTACCAATGAAGAAGTGTCAGTAAGGTTCCTTCATGCAGCACAGTTACCAATTATTTTAATATGTAGACTGACCTCGTTATGGGGAGAGAGAGAGAGAGAGAGAGAGAGAGAGAGAGAGAGAGAGAGAGAGAGAGAG